ACACTTCCCTCTTTGCTCCACTTTTGTATTGCTCTTTAAATAGCAGAACTTCTCAAAAGAAGCATTTCACCAACTTTTTATCCTCCTCACTTCACCCCTCGTACTGGTGATTGAACCCAGGGGCTTTGCCCTGTGCTACATCTCAAGCCTCTATCTCATTCTTTGTTTTTGTTCTCTCTCTCTCTCTCTCTCTCTCTCTCTCTCTCTCTCTCTCTCTCTTTCTTTCTCTCTCTCTCTCTGTCTCTCTCTCTTAAAACAGGAACTCACTAAGTCGCCCACTCCCAAAGTGTGCAGACCTAAGTGATTTCTAACAACCTTCACCTCCGCCCTGCCCTTTACTCTGTGACCATCTTCTACCACTCCCCACCTTGCATACTCCACTGGCCTACTTGTACTCAGACAGTAGATTCCTCTGCCCCAGCCCAACACTTTAGGTATAGTCCCACTTCGAGTCCTTTGCACTTGCTTTTCTTTGTCTCCCAGTTACACATGTGGCTCAGGTCCTAACTCCTAGGTCTTGAATGTCCCCTGCTCAGCGAGCTCTTCCTTGATTGCCTTGTTTAAAATTTTACTCCATTCTCTCTATTCCTTTTCTATGCTTTATTTTTTGGTATAGTACTTACCAACTAAAACTCAATCTATTTTGAATATTCACTTTCCATCTGTCTCCTTCTGTCATAAATCCTCCTCAAGGAAATAATTTTCTTTTACTTTTTTCTTCCCTCTGTTTGTGGTGCTGGGAATCAAACCCATGGCTTCATACATACTACATTCCCAGACCCAAGAATCATGTTCTTTTGTTCACTGCTATAATACAGTGTGTATACATTTAAATTGAGAACGCTGAGAGATGGAAAGCCTAAATCTGAAGGAAGATTCTCTAATGATCAAATTTCCAATGTGTGAGAGAAACTACAAATGTGCTTTCTGATCTCTGTGGACCTTTCTGCTTCTCTTCCTCACCTTACCTATGGGGTTGTGCATCACTAACCTGAGACAGGCTCTGAGATTATTACTCCAGGGTTACTGTTCCTACTGCCCACTAGACCTATACACCTTCGGATTTCATATAGGTATCTCAATCCAAAAGGTCCCAACTCAATACCTCATCTCTTTCCCCACATACTTCAAGCCCCTCCCTGTTAGCTTCTTTTCCTTTTCTGGATGATGGTGAGACCACCTTCCTTGCCATTCTCGCTACCTTATAGTCATCTTCACATCTGCTCTTCTTTCCCCCTCCCCTCTTCATCTCTTCTTATTCTAAGAATTGCTAAAATCTTGTCAAGCCAACAACCTAAACATTAATCTCTCAAATGTATGCTTTTTTGTCATGGTGAATTTTCCAGAATTAGGTCTTGCCTGCATGGTAACCAATCTTTGCCTGCCCCACACAAACCCCTAAAATTCACTTGCTAAAATATGAATATGATCCACATCGTTCTTCCACATGAGCAGTTCTGCCAGCTTTCCTTTGCTGTAGAATAAAGCAAAACTCCCTTGGCATGGGATCCTAGGCCTTTCACCAGCTGGCACCATCCATCCTTTAAAGCTTTGGCTCCTGCTCTTGCACACAACACATTCACATGCCTGCTACCACTCACTGCACACCTCCTGCCTCAGCCCTTGATGGTTCCTCTTCCTGATGTGTTCTCTTTTCCTTGTATTTCTGTTGGAGAATTATTAACAATATTAAATGTAAAAATAAGGCTAGAGGGTGTAGCTCAGGAATAAGTCCTAGATTCAACTATGCACACATACGCTTAAAAAATGTTGATTTATACATGCTAAGTATTATATATGCTGTGTGCTAGCTTATTTAATTCTTAGAAAAATGGAAAAATTTGCCCAAGTTAACACAGCTAGAAAATGATTGATCCAGGATTCGAACTGGCTTCTGACATCAAACCTCATAATCATAAATTAAGTTTTCTCTGACTTTTAATTGTAATTACATTTTTCTTTTGTGTTCTAAAGGTAGGCTTGTTTGTTTTGTTTTTTTTTTTTTTAAGATCATCACGTAGAAGTGAAGTTTAAACACACAGACTCTGAAGCCAGACTTTCTGGAACTTGCTGAGTGAACTTGTGTCTCAATCACTTTAGTTTTGAAATGAGAGTATTAATAGTTCCTATTTTATTGGGCTATTGTGAGGCTTAAATAAATTCAGTCTATGTAGTTCAGCACAGTGGCTGTTACATAGTCCTGGTTCCACAGGCACAGTCTAACTTTTGTCATATCTGTGTTCCCGTGTACCTGACCTAGATTCTGTATATCTCACTAGATTCTGACCTCTGGGAGGGGAGAGATCTTACTCACCTTCCAAACTTCCTGTACTTAGCACATCAGACCATTCACCATCTTGGGTATTCTGTAAATGTTTGTTCAATTAAGTTTGTACGTCTGTGGGTATTTGTGCTAGACAAAGAGACATTTACAAGTTCACAGTCTATGCATTTCTTCAAAGGAAGTAGTTATTGAGTGAACCTGGCTATCCAGTCGTTTCTGTCAATTTCAGAAATCCAAGTCCATTGTCATCCCGCTGCTGTGAATAGGAAGCCTTTTCTACTTTCAAGCCTTTCCCAAGTTTCCTCCTTTGTAAGCCAAGACTTTCCTTGGGAGGGCGGAGTAGGAACAGGACACCTGTCACAAGGTTCCAGACTTCTGTGACACAGATGGAGGTATTCAGCCCTAAGTAAACAAAAGTCTGCCTTTTGCCCTGATGTTCCCCTCCACTGAGCAGTGACTACTTATGGAGCTTGAGTTTCATTTCCAACTACAGGCACAGTGCACTGGCTATGGAAGAGGGCTTTGGCTCTCAGAGCGGCTCAAATGCACCTTGGAAGGCCTGCGGATTTCTGGGTGAGCTGTGGCTCAAGTTACATCACATTATTCCATGGTGATTATGCTTGTTTGTTTACATGTCAGCCAGACTCACTAGGTGAGGCTGCGGGAGTGAGAGGGGCAGAAAGAAGATTCAAAGGAGAGGGGAAAAATAAATAATTAAACACAGAAAAGGAAATACTAGATTAGAAGTTAACATGTACCCTGGGGCTCCCTTGATTTGGACTATCGTAAAAGTGCACAGCGTAATGATTAGGGACTTCCAGAAGGGAGTGGTCTCTGCACTGGGTTGGGGCTTTGTTTCCAATGAGTTACACCTGCTGTGCATAATACAAAGTAGACCAAATGGAGCACAGAAGAAATCACAGGACCATGTGTGCCCCCAGTGCAGAGTACTACCTTATTATCCTCACCTATGACTATGCTTTCTTCTGTCCCACACCTCAACTTATAACCTGACAGTTACTTATGCTATACCCTGGAGCTATCCTATCATCCTGTCCATCACCAGTGTTCCCTCCTAAAGGTCATTTGAATCCATTTCCTTCTCTCTACTTCCCCTGGCACTGCAGCCACGTCATAGATTTATTGCGTCTTCTTGGATTGTCAGCCTCATGTCTTAGACCTCACTGTTCATTCTCATGTTATTGTTAGAGGAATTTTTCTAAATTAGCTTAAAATCCACCCTTGACTTTCTCTGGCCTTCTAAAGCAAGTGTGCTTTCTGGGTCTATTCTTGCATCTCTGGCCTGTTTCTGGTCACCTCCACATCGAAAAGTCCCTTCACACTAGTCATCCTGACTCATATTCAATTTCAGAAAATGGAGAATTTGCTCGCAAATCTTGCAACCTTCTGTGTTTGCCCTCCTTCTGCCCAGAATTCCTCCCTTACTCTAGTTTCTTTTCTTGCTCCCTCAGGTCGAATGTTTCCCTCACCTATACCCTCATATTTCTCCTCCTCAGGTCGAATGTTTCCCTCACCTGTACCCTCATTATCTCTACTCTAGCCTTTATCGTAAACACCATGAATTTCTGAGTAGACAGAAGAAAGATTTGTTTCCCAGTATCTAGCTTTGGCATACAGCACCTGCTCAATAAGTATTTTGATAAGTGAATGAATTAACTCTACTAGACATAGTAGAGTTTAACTGTAGTTCAGGAACCAAACTGAACTATCTCATTCTGACAGAAGGAAATATAACCACAACAGCAGTTATGTTATTGGATGGGAACAATTTCACACTTGGTAAAAGGACTGTCAAGTTTTTTTTCTTCAAGCTGAAGTGATTCAAACTTAAAGAACAATCTAGAAGGTCTCTTCAGACTTGATGGAAGATTATATTTTCCCAGCTTTGGCTAAACAATGAAGAATAATGTGTATGAATGCGTGTGTGTGTGTGTGTGTGTGTGTGTGTGTGTATTTCAGAAGAGGTGTAAGAGGTGGACGGTTAACTATGAACTGAAATCAGCCCATGGATTTAGACTAGCACACACAAGGAATTCGCTGCAGTGAAACAGCCCAGAGTGACTCCAAAAGGTAAATAATATGAAGACAACAGGACTTGCTTCATGGCTTAACATAAATTTAGGAGACACCTTTCTGTACAGCAACTCAAAATTGAACGGACTGTGCGTTTAAGGTAGCAAACCCCCTGCTGCTCCTGGCATCCCAGTCTCTTCAGGTTCTCAAGGCAGCAGAGGCAGGACACATGGGAGGAAAGTGTGCAGAGCGTGCTGTGGATCAGGCGTCTTTTGATTCTTCGAATACTGAATATATGTGTTTCGAACCTATTTTTTTTCGAGTCCTTTGATTTCCTTGATGCTTTTTGATTCTTATCTCTAAGCATTAAAACGCAGCTGAGAAAACCTACAACAAAGATGGAAAAGGGAGCTACTAAGTACTAAAGGAAAAAAAACAATTTAAGGGAATAGGCCATAACGAAAGAACTGAGAGATGAGAGAAGAAAAGCACATGTTAGAAGAGAAAATAGGGAGGCGAAGAATGGAGTGAGAAGAACTCAGCGAAGGAAGACAGTAACCAAACTGGTCCCGGAGTGGAAAAGGGAAGGCACGCCCAGAGGGAAAACGGTCACTTTAAGGACGGCTCCGCCTCCTGGCGTGACGCCACAGCAGGCTCATTCCCGATTGGCTGCAGTCGGAGGGCGGGATGGAGTTGCTAGGCGCGGAGCGGATCCGGCTGGCCCGGGCCTCCCGGAGCTCGGAGCCGCGGGAGCGGAGCCGGGGTTAGCGGAGCGGCTGGAAGATGGCGAGCGGTTGGGACTCGCGGCCGCCCTGGCGGCTGGGACGCCTTCCGCTTCTGCTATACTTGCTGCTGCTTCTGAAGAGCCCGGCCTGGGCGGCGCACATCAAGAAGGCAGAGGCGACCACGACAACGAGTGCGGGCGCCGAGGGCCAGTTCGATCGCTACTATCACGAAGAAGAGCTGGGCAAGGCACTGAGGGAGGCGGCGGCCGCGGGGCCCCCCGGCCTGGCCCGCCTCTTCAGCATCGGTCGCTCGGTGGAGGGCCGGCCGCTGTGGGTGCTGCGCCTCACGGCCGGCCTGGGGCCGCTGCTCCCTGACGGCGACGCGGCGGGGCCGGAGGCTGCGGGGCCGCTCATACCCGGCCGGCCGCAGGTGAAGCTGGTGGGCAACATGCACGGCGACGAGACCGTGTCGCGCCAGGTGCTGGTCTACCTGGCCCGAGAGCTGGCCTCTGGCTACCGCCGCGGGGACCCGCGCCTCGTCCGCCTGCTCAACACCACCGACGTGTACGTGCTGCCCAGCCTCAACCCCGACGGCTTCGAGCGCTCCCGCGAGGGCGACTGCGGGACCAGCGGCCGCGACAACAGCCGGGGCCGCGACCTCAACCGCAGCTTCCCGGACCAGTTCAGCACTGGCGAGCCCCCCTCCCTGGACGAGGTGCCCGAAGTGCGAGCCCTCATCGACTGGATCCGCAGGAACAAGTGAGTGTCGCCGGTGCCGTCTCCTGCATCCTTGGGTCAGACGCTGCTTCCCACATCCAGTAGGCGTTCCAACAATACTTACCCGCCTAAGGGGTATATATAGATAGTAAGAGTAGAGGGTGACACCCAGAAACGGACAGGGCTCAGCTGCCCAAGCCTCCTGGTACCGCTATTTGTCAAAGCAGCGCTGCCTAACAGCTGACATTTGTTCAAGGCATGGACGATGAGGAGACTCCTTTCTGTTCCCTGTCCTTTCAGGAGCATAGGTTATGAGCGATGGAGAGACCTTAAGGATACCTACCCTAGGTCAGCTCAGTCATTTTGTAGGTTAGTTGTCAGTGTTGTTATTTTATTACTAGAGGTGCTGTTGGAAGCACTTTGCGTGACTGCATTGTCTGGTGTTGGCCGCAATCTGCTGACATAGGCATCACTCATTCTTGCTTTCCATTCAGGGAAACTGAGGGTCAGTTTGGGTAATTTACTTAGTGAAAGAAGTGTGGGCTGGGTGGTAGACTCAAGCAGTCTGAGTCTTGGTCTGCTCTTAAGGGCTACGGAGACAGACTATAGCCCAGAAATGTGACACCCTGAGGTCTTCCCTTTGACAGAAACTGGTTCTCTTCCAATTTTTATCTCTGATTCTGCTAAGAAGCGTATGGACTTGGCTGGAGAATTTGCACAGATTCGTAAGCTGCTTCATTTTAGACAGTTTATGGAGGATTTCTGGTGCCCTAAGTGACCGTCACTTAATATACATCTTGAGTGTTATTAATCCTTGTGTGCGATTTTAAAAATTAAAATGTAGAAGATGGGGGTATTGGTATAGGAGACCGGGGAGATGGCTCAGTAGAATAAGTGCTTGTCTGGCATACGCAAGGGCATGAGTTCAATCCCCTCTTCTGCCAAAAAAAAAAAAAAAAAAGAGTGGTGGTTTCTCTTAGGGGCCTGGGAGATGGCTCAGTGGAATAAGCGCTTCCCTGGTAAGTGCAAGGGCCTGAGTTCAATCCCCTGTTCTGCCAAAAAAGAAAAAAGAAAAAGAAATTGGTATGTAACAAGAGAATATTATATATGAAATGTTTGCCCAGTTAAACTTTACTGAATCTGTTCCCTCTGGCAATATAATATGGAGTATTCTGTGGAAGAGAATCTTGAGAAATGGATAGAATTTATAGCAAAGAGAAAGGAGTAAAGGAAGGTACTACTCCAAATGGAATTATGTCTGAAGTGAGCACATACCTCTTCTTTTTCAAGCATCAGTTTTGCCACTATATACATTTTTTTCTGTCTTCATAAGACTTTGGAAGCAATAATCTTTCCATCTTGACTTAAATATTTTTGAGTCTCAGTGAAGGTAAAAGTAATAATGAACAAGTTGTTCTCTGAGATTTGGAATCATTCCTTCTACAAGATAGTCATATGTAGCAAGTCTAGAAAATACATGAGCATTGTGACAGTTCCAGATTGTTTTTTATTTTTCTCCTTTCATTTCACTCCCCTTTTTAGAAGATTCTTTGTATTTAATATACATTCTCAAGGACATGGGTTTTTTAATGACCTTATTATGACCTCTGAACATATATGTATATATATAAATTGACTTTGATATAGTGCTTTATTGTTAGAAGCTATGATTGCTAGTGATTTTTGGAGATGATATATGAACTGCTGTCTGCTGCATATATTGCTTAAGAGTTTAAAATGCCCCATTGTGACCCTGGTAGGGATTTATCTCTTCAGTATCAATTCTGCCACAACCAAAAATGAAAAAAAAATTTGGTGTAAGACACATTAAGGCTGCACTGAAAACCTTAAACTTTAAATCTGGAAGCAAAAATTCACTCTCTAGTTAACTCTTTTGTATATCATCGATATTTAATGATTATGAGTGATGGTCTTGTTTGGTTCACTGATAGCATTTTGTAAGATTTATTTGGTATAGGATCTAGCTATGTAGCTCAGACTTGTAATGACCCTCCTGTCTCAGCCTCCCCAGTGCTGGGACTACAGATGTGCACCACCAAAACACAGGGCCCGCACAGCGTGTGGTGCTGGGGATAAAACCCAGGGCCTTGTGCTTGCCAGGCAGGCGCTTAGACTGCTGAGCTACTCCCTGGCCCATTGTGAGACTTTTAAAAGCTTATCTGGGTCAGTTGGTATCATCTAAAGTCATTTTGTTTTGTGCCAGTGGACAACCCTAGTCAAACATGTAACTGTAATAAAAAGGGAAAGCAGGTGATTAAAGAGTATATTCATCCATATCCTGTTTTCAAATTTTAAAAATATATCTTCTTTAGTAATTAGTAACAAAGGACTCTGATATATGAATATTCACAAAATTAAATATTTGTGTACCCACACAATTTGAGATTGATGCCTAAATATAGTCATAGGATATGAAAAAGAAAAACCTAAATGTAAGTCTCTGAAAAAACTACTTTTTTCAAGTGTATTTTGTGGAAAAATCATTTGGATAATTCTTGATATCCTGTTTACCCAGCTATATTAGAAATAGACTTTGTTATTTAGAATATGTTAAAATTTCGTCCAATTTAGGAAAATAAAGATTATTTACTTATTTATGTATTTTGTGAATAGTGTTTTTATACTGTTGCTAATTCAGGGCTGGAGAGATAGCTCAACGGCATAAACGCCTACCTGGCAAGCACAAGGTCCCTAGTTTGATCCCCAACACTGAAAAAAAAAAAAAAAAAAAAAAAGGAAAAAGGAAAAACACACACACAAAGAAACGTTGTTAATGATAATTCACACAAATATTTAGGAAAATAGAAATGATTTAAACTGCATCATTCAAGATTTTATAGTTTACCTCCACATTTTTGACACACCAGTCTCCTTTGAATAAATTTACTTAGAGATGAAGAAATTATCATATAGATTCATTTTTGTGTTCTTTTAAAATTTTTTGATAGTACTTTTTATCCCTATCACTTGGGTATGTTTGTGAAGAGCATTATCATGTTAGGGGTTGGTGCTTGAATATATTTACTTGCAATTGAGGTGTTTGGGGACCTTTCATTGTATTTACTTACAATTTCATGAATTGTTTTAGTTTTCCAGACATCAGGTTCCCTTAATTTTTGAAGTTATCTATAGGATTGAGAGAATATAACAAAGGTAGGATTAACTTTTAATATTATAGTGTTTATATTTATTTAGCAGCTATTTTGCCTTCTTCCTCCCCCGCCCCCAGTGCTGAGGATTAAGTCCAAGGACTTGTATAAACTAGGCAAGCACTGTGTCACTGAGCTACAGTCCCAGTCCAACTACTTTAGATCTTAGGCAAGGAACATATATGATAATAAAGTCAAATGTGAAAAATACTTGTAGAGTTGGTTTGACCAAAGACTCAAAAATGTAATCTTTCAGCTCCTGTAATAAGTATTACTCTCTCTTAAAATCTGCCTGTGAGAATTTTGAGTGTCTTTAAAACTATATAGGCAAGCAAAGAAGCTCTAATTAAACAGAATTTTAGTCTTCAAATAGGTTACAAATATTTTATTGTTCTAAAAGTACTCATCAAACTATTACAAAGAAGTTGCTAAGGAGTATTAACAAAAAATGTGGAATGAACTGAAAAACATTTAGTAAAGGATCTTGGATTTTATAGAAGATAGATAGATAGATAGATAGATAGATAGATAGATAGATAGATATAGTCTTTTTGATACAGGGTCTGGCTATGCAGTTTAGGCTGGCCTAGACCTCACTTTATAACCCAGGCTGATCTTAAACTCCCAAAGATCCTCCTGCCTCAGCCTTCCAAGTGCTGGGATTATAGGTGTGTGCCACCGGGCCTGACCAAAATAGTATTTTTATGCTCAAAAAATACTTGATGCTAAATAGGTTACTTGAATTGGGCCAGCCTTCTTATAGCATTCCCAGTCAGTGGGAAGGAAAGTAAATTATTTTAGAAATACAAACCAGACTGTAAATTGTCAATACCTTAACAATTGGGAGGGCTGGGGAGATAGTTCAGCAGTCTAAGTGCCTGCCTGGCAAGCTCAAGGACCTGGGTTCGATCCCCGGTGCAACATGCCCTGCCAGCCCCTGAACCCTGAGCACGCCATGCCAACCCAGGCACGCCATGCCAGCCACAGAATCCAGACATGGTGGTGTGCACCTTAATCCCAGCACTGATGAGGCCGAGACTGGAGGTTCACTATGAGGCCGAGCTGTTAAGTGAGACCCTGTACCAAATAACTAAATAAATGAAAGATTTAAGAATTTTAAAAGAACCAATGGGAAACAGGTAGCTAGGCTAGAATGAGAAAGTTAGAATATGTGCCTACTTTTTGTTTCTATATTATTCTGTCCAGAACTGGCACTGGAATTCGGGAATAGAATGGTAAATCTGTATGGCAGTGACCTCTAAAGAAATGAATTGTTTGTTGAAGTAGGACCTATAAAGCAGTCATTGCTCTAGGAGATGTTTACTTATGTTATCATATTTAGTTTTCATAACTCTCAATTTTACAGATGAGAGGAAAACTGAGATTTATCAAATTTAGAGGTGTAGCTTCTGTTCATATTACTGTTGAGTTACAGATCTGGGAGACTGAATGTTCTTACCCATATATGCCAGGCTCCAAAACTCGTGCTATTGCCACTATACCAAATGGCATCCTCTGGTGTCTGGAAAGGTGCTAATTAAAATTACATTAATATTAAAATGGTCTCTTTTTATAGTTTCTTTTAGTGTTTAAACATAGTCAGTATTGGCTAAATTCTTCTAATGAACAGATTCTGTGCTACAAATGATTTTCACTGTTTTATCTCCTCTGGATAGGATTTATCTTGCTTAAAATAACTTTTAAAATTAGACATATGGTAGATTTAATTTTATTTCAAGAATATATATACAGAAATGTTATATGTCAACTCCCTTTAGAATTTCTGTACCTCAGTTAATTTCAACCACAGAAAGGCAGAAGCAAGAAAACCCAACTTAGAGTACAGAAGACAAGTATTTAGGGCCGGGGAGATGACATAGTGGAATAAGTGCTTCCCTGGCAAGCACAAGAGCCTGAGTTCAATCCCCAATTCCACCCCCCCCCCCAAAAAAAAAACAAACTGAAACCAGAAGACAAGTATTTAATCTCTATTTGTAGTAATGGTTCAATCTCTTACATAAGGGAAGGCAGCCGAGTCGGTGGCGCACATCCACCTGTAATCCTAGCACTTGAGAGGATGTGTTTTAGGCCAGTCAGCGAGACCCTGTCTTTGAAAATAAACAATCAAAATATGTAAGGAAAAGCAAATAAATGGAGAATATTTACCTTTGCCTTTACCTTTCATCATAAAAGGAGTTCTTCAGCATTTCTATAATTAAAAATTTGACCAATTATGAATTAGTTCGCTTAATAGCAGAAACATGGAGTTGTGGATGTGACTCTGTGGAGCACTTGGCCAGCATACATGAGGCACTGTTGATTTTCAGTGTCAACACACACACACACACACACACACACACACACACAAACATTTTTAAAATTTTTATTTGTTTTATGAGAGCAGCTTTGTTTGCATGTCAATTTTTGTTGTTGTTGTTTTTTTTTTTTAATGTCCCAGTCAAAAACCTCAGTTCAATGGAGAGCTAGTCTTTGTTATACTGTGTTGTATTGTTTTTCCTGGAAAGCAGTGTACTGTGTCAGGTTGTTTTTGTTTTTCCTGAATCTTCTCTACTGTGGCTTTTTTCTTTCTTTCTTTTTTTTGGCCATAATTTTATTGATAAACAAATGGCTATGAGACAGTTTCAAATCAAATTGGTAGGACAGTTTCAATAATTAACACACTGCATGCATTTTTCTTAGTGGTTAATTGCTGTACAAGATGCTGTACAGAAATTGTTGACCTGAGTCCCCTACAGCTCAACATAACAGCATGGCTTTACTTGTTATACTTTGTTTTTATACTTTTCTGCTGGATGGTTAAGACCAAGATAAAGCAGGACCTATGCAACAAGAGTTGTAGCTTTTGGGTCTGAGAAGGTCAGT